GGCGGACAATGACTTGTGTTAAGAGGGTCTGCTGACGGTCTACTGCGGACGAGGGGTCTACGGTGGACGATGACTTGTGTAAAGAGGGCCTGATGACGGTCTACTGCAGGCGAGGGGTTTACGGTGGACGATGACTTGTGTTAAGAGGGTTTGATGACGGTCTGCTGCAGACGAGGGGTCTACGGTGGACGATGGCGTGTGTAAAGAGGGTTTGATGACGGTCTGCTGCAGGCGAGGGGTCTACGGTGGACGATGACTTGTGTTAAGAGGGTTTGATGACGGTCTGCTGCAGGCGAGGGGTCTACGGTGGACGATGGCGTGTGTAAAGAGGGTCTGATGACGGTCTGCTGCAGGCGAGGGGTCTACGGCGGACAATGACTTGTGTAAAGAGGGTCTGCTGCAGACGAGGGGTCTACGGTGGACGATGACTTGTGTAAAGAGGGTCTGACGACGGTCTGCTACGGAGTCTACGGCGGACGATGACTTGTGTTAAGAAGGTCTGATGACCTTCTGCTGCAGGCGAGGGTCTACCGTGGACCAGAGAAGACGAGGTCTAACGTGATCAAAAGAAACTCTTGAAATGATGGAAAATTTAGCGAATAAGTAGGCCAGAAACACTGAAAAAAATACTTTAATCGTTCAGCGTTCTATAATTCACTCCCTATTTAATCTCACCTAACGCAAGCGGCATTCAGCCCACACCTTTGTCCTCGGAAATTCATTGCTGCAAAACTCAACCGGTGGATCGCAAAATCCAACCGGCGGATAAACCTTCGTCTCAGATACTCCCGGTTTGGATGAGCGTTTTTCCGTAACATTGCCGATGCCATCCGCCACAAGCCGGCGCCGAATGGCGTGCGCCGAAGCCGAAAATCTGACAGTGAGTTTGTGTGGCAAATTAAGGGAACATTTCATGGTGGAGATGATGCCATCCCGGCAGGCCATTACGGCTACAAAGCCTGGCTTCTCCAGGAATTGGAATTACGAATATTGGATTGGATTTGAGGATATTTAATAAAAATTGGATTTGTTATTTATGAAGAACACGTGATGCGTTCTGGAACAGTCTTGCTGGATGGGGTCTGGAGAAATGATTGACACGCATGGAGGGTCGGGGTTATATACTGCATGAGGGTCGAGCCAAGGGTCGGGGTTACGTACACAAGGAGGGTCGTACCAAGGGTCAGGCTGCGGACACGGGGAGGATAGTGCCAAGGGTCGGGGCTGCGTACACGGGGAGGGTTGAGCCAAGGGTCGGGGCTGCGTACACGGAGAGGGTTGAGCCAAGGGTCGGGGCTGCGTACAAAGGGTCAAGCCAAGGGTCGGGGCTGCGTACACGGGGAGGGTCGAGCCAAGGGTCGGGGCTGCGTACACGGGGAGGGTTGAGCCAAGGGTCGGGGCTGCGTACAGAGGGACAGAGTTACATTCTCTGAGGTTTCTATTAACCCCGTAGGGTCCCCGGTCGTTATCAGTGGTTGCTCTAGCACAGCTGATCCTTTGTATCCCTTATATCCCTTATATCCCTGCTCCGTCCGTCCCCCAGACTTGCTCTATCCCCAATTATTTCCTCAGATCACCGGAGCCTCGGCAGATGGGGAGGAGAGGGTGGGAGGAGGGAGGGGGCGGGGAAGGGGAGCGAATTGAGTTAGAAAGAGCGAGTAGGAGAGAGAGTGAGTGTGTGAAGGTGCTAGTGCTAGAGTGGGGACACAAGAAAGAGCGAGAGTATACGAGATAGAGAGAGGAAGAGAGAGAGGAATAAACAATAATGATAAAAGAATGAGGAATAAAGAATAGCGAAAATAAGAAAAGAAGAAAGAGACAAGAATAAAGAGAAGAGGAGATAGAAGCAGAAAGAGCAAGGAAGAAGTAGAGCCGGCATAGAAGTGTACAGATAAATTTAGAAATAGAAACAAAAATGTACGGAGGCAAGAAATAAAGCAAAAGAGCCTAATCATAAAATAGTATTAAACTAAAATTATTTTAATACGGAAAATATGGCTTTAATATAAAAAAATCATAATCGAAATAGAGCAGATTTGGTGCGGCATAAAGCACCAGACAAATTTCCTAGGGCAAATTTTTGATACAATGCGAACAAAAACGTTCGTATTTTTAAATAAAAATATGATGCTATAAATGCAAAAAGATTCTAAACAGTTACGTTTGTATTTTTATAGGAACGTTGTATTGGAAAAATTTCCTGTACAAGTCAGTGATAGTAGAGCTGATGCAACCAAAAAATATATTCTCTACACATTCTAATCATACAAAATGAAATATTTGCCTTGATTCAAACAGAAAAATACGGTTTATATTCGAGAAATTTACCTTGAAAATAATTGTTTATGATTACTAGAAGTTTGTTGGATAATTTTCATTTCATGATAATTGATTCCAGGCATTGTTGAATATTAGAGTTGAAAAAATGTTTTGTTAGCCTATTTCTTCTTAGTTTCAAAAAATGTTTAGGAAGTATCATTATCAATAATAAACAAAATAAACGATATTTAGAGATACTTTATAGATACAATATATCTACAGATTTTTTATAGATGCAAATATTTTAAATATATGGAAAAATCTATGAAAACAAGGAAATTAAATTTAAACAATACAATTTTTAAATTTAGACAAAGATTCGACATAACAACATTCAACTAAATTATTTCAGCTTCCTCGATAAATTATCCAGTAGTTTTTATAAAATTACTGATATTTTTAGGCGTAATTTAATTTAAACTATAAAATTTTTAAATTTAGACAGAGATTCGATTCAATTCAATTATTTCAGCTTCCTCGTTAAATTTTCCGTAGTTTTTATAGAAATTATTGATATTTTTTAGCATATTTGAATAACAATGAAGGCGGAATGGAAGACTCGCCTGTAAGCCGCGCCGCGCAATCTTAGTTAAATGGCCGGGAAAATGCCAGACAGATTTTCTTAAGAGTCTCTTGTGNTAGATCATAAGAAGTCAGGCAGGCTCATGCCTCATGTGTCGGAATCAGGAAGCAAAAAAGTGTTCGCTGCTGCCGAGTCTCCAGTCGACCTCGCTCCAATAATCCCGTAAAAGGCGTCCCGTGTTTGGAACTTGGACTGCGCTTCTCATCGGATACGCAGAGAATTGTGTGAGATTTCGTCCAAATGGCGAAACATATTTCCGTGTATGGATATTGGATGAATTATCTCCGTAATAATATTGGATAAAATATCGTTGAATGATCATAGTTATGGAAAATTACATTTAATTAATTACATGGGGCTAAAAGCCTATGCTTGAAAGCTGCTGCCGCTATTGTGCTCTTAGTTTGCTGTAAAAAAGTACACGAAGTCCACGCCTGACGGCCGCTGCTGCTATTGTGCTCTTAGTTTGCTGTAAAAAAGTACACGAAGTCCACGTCTGACGGCCGCTGCTGCTATTGTGCTCTTAGTTTGCTGTAAATAAAGTAATAAAAAAGTGCACGAAGTCCACCCCTGACGGCCGCTGCTGCTATTGTGCTCTTAGTTTGCTGTAAAAAAGTGCACGAAGTCCACGCCTGACGGCCGCTGCTGCTATTGTGCTCTTAGTTTGCTGTAAATAAGTGCACGAAGTCCACGCCTGGCGGCCGCTGCTGCTATTGTGCTCATAGTTTGCTGTAAAAATGTACAGGAAGTCCACGTATGACGGCCGCTGCTGCTATTGTGCTCTTAGTTTGCTGTAAAATAAGTGCTACGCTCAGCGCCTGCATGGATCACTTACCCGAAGTGCTTCCTAGCCTCGGAGCTGAGCAGATGATGTGCCCCTTAATCTCTTCCAGCTTCTCGTTAGCCAAATGACTTCTCTGGCCTAGGGACACGGAATTCTAAGCTATAAAAATACTCTCGAAGAAATTCGTAATGAAATTTATAAAAGAAACATAAAATCAGTGGAATATACCCGATGTAATTTTATAAATATTTTTTTTCTCGTACAAAACTGTTCGGGCGATCGCAACAGCAATTCATGCATAGACTTCATGCGTTCCATGTTTTTGACGAATGTTTATGGTAACGCATGCCTGGGTTAATGTATCGACGCGTTATAGCGCGTGACTGGGTTGACGTAGGGACACGGTAACGCTCAGCCGTGTTAACGAATCGACACGGTAACGCTCAGCCGTTTTAACGTATCGACAAGGAACCGACACAGCCGTGTTGACGTATCGACACGGCAACCCATTTAGTATACGGGATCCGAGGGAAGCTTGCCCTCGGAGCGACTCGAGGGCGACAAGTTCAATCTCTCGTCCTGACAAATGACGGCGTACGGGACGGATTTAACCGTGATTGCTCATCAATCATCCGGAAATTCAATAGCGATCCATTACTGTAAATCCCGTGCTTTTAGTTTATTAATTAGTAAAGCGGGATTCAATTTATGTTCATTAGTTATACGAATAACTACGAATGAATACAAATAAGAGCGAATTGAACATCGTTTGGAATACATTCCACATAGCTGGATGACTCAAGTATGTATTCATGCGCAATCCTGTAAAAACCTTACATCAGGATGTCGAGGAAACTTATTTAAACTTGATGTTGTCATATATACCTTTAATGTAAGCTTTTACGCTACACTATACAATGGGTAAATTATTTCAAATTATTTGTCGTGGTATTGTTACTCATGATTTTCTTAAAGAAATACGCTCCACGCATTGATGAACCGCAGACTTGATGCCGTTCGACAGCACCGGAAAATATTCAAAACATTTGTAAATTTTTCCCAAAAATCCGCCTGTTATCCTAATATTTTCTTCCTATCTATTGGCCAGGCTTGCTGCCGTTTGACAGCACCGGAAAATATTCAAAATATTTTGATATTTGTTCTCAAAATCCTCGTGTTATCCTAGTATTTTCTTCCCATCTCTTGGCCAGACTTGCTGCCGTTCAACATCACCAGAAAATATTAAAAACATTTGTACATTGCCCCTGAAAATCCGCCTGTTCACCTAATATTTTCCTCTCATCTCTTGGCCAGACTTGCTGCCGTTCGACATCACAGGAGGACCAGAGACCCGAGAGTTTCTATACCGCGTGGCCGACATATCCTGTGACTATGTCGAGAAGACTTTCGACCGCGGCTGCAAGATCCTGGACTTCCACCAGCCCGAGCAGCTCAAGGAGGTCCTGGACTTGGAGATTCCTTCGGATCCTTTGAAGCTCGAGCAACTCCTGCACGACTGCCGCGATGCGCTCAAGTATCAGGTTAAGACGGGTGAGTATATTACCTTTTAGAATAGTTAAGCCACTATAACTGCGACAAGCAGAATGGTATATAGAATTTATAGTCCGCAATGATATAATCGCTCAGATTATATCAGATGCGCTCAAGTATCAGGTTAAGACGGGTGACTATATTACCTTTTAGAATAGTTAAAGCAATTTAATTGCGACTACCGGAATAGTTTATAAAATCTTAAAATGCAATGTGATTTATAACGTAATGTTATAATTTTCCGATATTGAAATTTTATTTCGTAATAAACGTTAAAAAATTAAGAGTAAGTAAACTGACGTGCAAGAAAGTGGTATGTTGAAAAGGGTCTCCTGGTAAAAGGTTTTCACGGGGATGGTGATATCTAACACAGAATAAGAATAAAGATTGTTTTAAACACAGCAAATAACACGATGCGTGAAATATGAGTTTATAAATATCCTACTTGAATGAGTTTTTAAAGCCCTCAGTAAGTCACGCGAATCAAATAATAACTGGCATTTGTATTCAAATTTTTCATCTTCGTACTATTCGATATATGAAAATTTATATGTCTCGCAAAACAACATAAATTTATTCTATACATCATAATACGAAAATAATCCTAGATATAATGATAAAAATACCTAATGTACACCGAGGAAAATGTATGGGTTACATTATAAAACTAGTGTTACTCTTCTGCATGTAACACTGACTCGCCCATCTTCCGGACCAAAGTGAGCAAGGATGACCCAAACCAGGACAAAAAGTGCCCCCTATTTGTCCCACTCATTTATTTGAGTGTAGATTTGAGCCAAAAGACCTCCCGTAATCTGAGGGTTAACCGCTCCGAGGGTAACAGGGGCTCTCAAAATTAGAGGGAATTAAATACGAGGGCTTGAGGCTGGGGCTAACTGAACTTTCTTAAGCCCTCTAAGCCCAAGCCCAGCTGGTGCATCATCAATTCTTCCGCGGAGCCAGAGTGGTAACTTAAATTTGATAAATTAGATAATTAATATTATATAATATCGTAATGATTTTGCAATATCTTTATTGCCATCTACTTAGCGTGTTCTTTCTTTTCAATCCTTGGTGAACTTATGCCTTAGAAAGAATAATGGTGTAAATAATAAATGACAAATGATAGAAAATTAAATAACTAATGATTAATAATTAGTAATTTGAAATGATGTGGGACATCCTGCTAATTTCAGTTAAGAAAACTTCACTAAAAATCTTCATTCCTTGGTCCCGTACATATTCTTTAAACAAATCTTGTATTTATGCACAAAGAAATATATTAATTTATTGATATTTTAATGATTACAATTTTAATAGAGAGGAAAATGTCAGAAAACTCATTTCCAATATTTTGATTGGAAACGAATCAGCGACAAGCTCTATTATAACTCAAGATCTCGATTCAAATTAGACATTTTTTAACTAATAGCACAGCTAGTTTACGAAATGTTCAAAAATAGAAATTTAGATTTTTTATCTTTAATAATGAAACTCGATGAGTTTGTATTTTAGCAAACAAATGATATTAATACTTGAATTCCAGTCCTTTCTTTTTTTGAATTATATATCATTTATGGCAAATAATCGTTTTTCGTCTATCCCTGACTTCAAAATGAAATTCTTTTGACAATCTACTTGTTTTTGTCGTCCTGAGTTCGACGTACGTTTGGTTTCTAAGTCGCTTAATTGTTACTTATTTTCTTTTATATTATAATATTAAAAAATAGGTGTAATAAAATGGATGAAAAATTTTATAAACTCGGATGAAGGCCTTTTAACTGCTTTAATATTTCAAACACAGTTCTATATTCCTTTTCCAACACACTACCAATGTTCCCGAATTCAGAAATAATTTCACAAATGTAAGAAAAGAACGGTCAATAAACCGTCACTTTACAGTGTACGCATTCAAAAAAGCCAAATGTTCCAGTCCAATTCCATTCAATTTAAATTAAAGGAGCATAATGAGAGTTTTTCTTTGGTTTGGCCTCCTGGCGCAGTCTGTCGGCCACCGTTACCAGTCCAAGGAACGTTCCGCTTACGCTCCAGCGATTCCTGATGGAATAGCTGGTAATTGGCTGGAATAGCTGAGAACAGCTGGTAATTGCCTGGAACAATTCCTGATAGCGCTGGGGTTACGATGCAATAGCTGGGACTTAAGGAGGCTCTAGAATACAAACCTCATTAACTTGTATAATGAAGCGAACTCCATGAAGACTCTCTATATATGAAGCTACAATTCCGAACGGTGAGCTTCACAATTCTTCAATTGCCACAATTACAATGCCTGGGCTTCATGATTCTGTAATTGTGATAATTATAATATCTAGTAAAAATCGAGATCTCCACGCTTCCTTTAATTCCATATTGCACTTAATCATGTTCCGCTTGTTTACTTTGGTGGAATTGATGCGAATTTTTGAACGGAAAGATCAATTTCTCCATTATATATTAAATATGTAGAATATTTCGGAATTGTAAAATATTCAATTGGAAATCATTATTTTTCATTTTATGATAATATTTAAAGTGAAAGAACTGTAAACGAAAAAACTTTAGCAAAACGAACTCCATTAACCACGCTTCCTCAAGATGAAAATTCACCAATATTGTTTCATATATTATATTTAGTTGGCACTTCTCTATTTATCCATTTGAAAGATCATTTAGGATTCTCCAGTAATGGCATCGCATCTTCGAACTGATTTTATATTACTTATTTCTCCAATTTTTTATGCAATGCTCCAATAAATTTGATAATAAAAAGCAACATTCAAAAATTTCCTGAATAGCTTCTGTTCAAATTCCTTATCGCGTATTTTCTTGCAATTGTTTTAAGGAAAGCAACAAAAACACCGCGCATCCCATCTTCATACACTCCTTAAATCTATAAATAATAGCTTCGCAAACACACAACTTTTCAATTAATTGCGAGAGGCGGCGATAAATCGCGTCGAGTTTAGAGCAGTCCCCTCGCACCCGCATGCGGCGGCTATGCAAATCGAATCAAGTGAAGCTATAGGCAAATATTTGACAGCACGCGGAAGGACGGAGGCGTGCGAGCTCCGATAAGCCAGCAGCACCTTCCACCCTCATTGTTTCTCGCCCCAGAAATCATTGTTTTACTTCCCATCTGCGGCAGGGAACGGAAGATTGTTCATTGTTCAAGTTACAGACTCCATGCATAACTTAGCTGCACGACGCATATAATTACGAACGGACTTCACTCGAGCTCCAGATTTAAATGAATTGTGGCCTCAAAGTTCGATGCTAGAAGTGATGGCGCTCTAAAAAGTTTGGTTTCCGTTGCGCACATCTTCGGTTTTTGACGAGAATTTAGTTTGTAGTACTTATTAACTCTTTAAAAACTAATTAATAACAATAAAACGTTTCTAAGTTTCTTAACATTAAATTTAGGAAACATTATCTCAAGTTTGTATACGCGCGCGTGAAGATTACACTCTCATTAAATTGAACTCACAAACATTCAATATTTTAAAGAATTACAAAATTCGCATCTTTCATCCTACTTTTTCTTACATTTTACGGGCTCACTGCCACCTTCAAAATTATGTTTTTCGTCGAGCACGATTATATTTCGTTTCTGAGTTATTTCGTTGTGATTATGAGCATTTCTTGCACAAAAGGGTTCAAAGTTCAAGAATTGCACCACGAAATACAGGCATGAATCCAAGGAATAAATCAACATTCGGAATCGATTCGCAGCCGCTCATTCGGAATGCGAGACGCGCACAATGGATACCACAATGGGATAGCCCGCGACGTTGGAGTGGTGGTGTCTGTCAGGGACACGTGTGCGTGTCACGAACATGGAGAGGCAGCCGTGTCAGTGACATCGAGAGGCGTGTCAATGCCCTCTCAAAGCCGCTGTATCCGAGGGAAGCCCTCTGAGCAAAGACGACAATTTCTGTTTTCGGTAACGCGATTTTGATGCAATGCACTTACTTAGTCGACGTCGGTTGCATTTATAGGGGCTTCAGGTCCCTAAATAGACCAGATGCAGCGCGGAAATTTGTCTTGAGATTTGTTGAAAGATTTTATCACAAGGCTCTCCACTTCGTCACTGAATTAAAGCGATTCAATTCTACGGTTCTTCACTACTTTCCTGACTTGATACAATGTAGTCAGAAGGTTCTTCACTTCGTCACTGAATTAAAACGATTAAATTTTACTGTTCTTCACTACTCTCCTGAATTGACACAATTTAACCACAAGGTTCTTCACTAATTCACTGAATTAACACGATTCAATTTAACGTTTCTTTTTCTATACTCTCCTGAATTGATACAATTTAATCACAAGATTATTCACTAATTCACTGAATTGGTACGATTAAATCACAAGGTTCTTCACTACTCTCCTGAATTGATAAAATTTGACCACAAGATTCGTCACTAATTCAGTGAAATTATATGACTTAATCACAAGGTTCTCCAATACTTCCCTGAATCGATTTGAGGGCTCACGTTTAATCATTTTAACTATCTTTATCAATTTGCATTAATAGGCGTATAGATTAAGAGCCGTGTTCAATAAAGTAGCTTTCAATTTATTAACATTTTTCATTTATTAGTGACTTCACCACTTTCATTACTTATAATATTTGAACTATTTTTAGTCAATTAAAGCAATGTTTTCTATCAAAATTGTGACACGACGTAATTAAAATAATGCAGTCCTCCAGGAATCCTACTCGTATCTTTAACGAGTAAACTTTATATAAATTTTTAGGTAAATTACTTGGAATAAATTGTGTTGAAACTCTAACAGTTTGTAAATAGAAACAACGAATAAAACTTATCGCAAGCCAGTAAGCAGGGAGAAACTATCAAATTATTTCAATTAAATTACAAAATCAGCGCCTCGAACAATACTGTAAAAAGTTGAAATTAATTAGTTTCAGTACATAAGAGTTTTAAATTTCTTTATACATTAGCAATTGAGGCTTTTGTCCTACAAAAGAGAAAATTTATAAA